ATCCAGTTCATTAGTTGTTTAAAAATCTGTTTGAAACCTTTAAAATCATAAAACATTGCAAAAGACTGTGGTTTTAGAACCATTCAAATTATTGAAAAACATCTGTCCGTAAATTTATATTACCTCAAATGTCAGGCAGCACACCTGGCCAAAGTGGGCTTTTATTTAAGCCAGTTTAGAAAACAGATATTACAATATAGAGACGACCCCAAGTGACCTTTGTGGTGCACTAAAAACAAGTTTAAAAAAAAAAAAAAACACAAAAATTGCCATTTTTAACTCATGGTTAGGCTGGCACAGTTTCCATCTTGGGTGATACAACCTGTGGAGAACTGAGAATACTATAATAATTTAAAACTATGAAATGAGCTTAATAAGTCAGGTGCCGCAACCACAATTAATATTACTACTAATCATAACCGATGCATTGTAGACAATAAAATGATTACTTTATGAAGATAATAATTTGGAAAAAAATAATTGTAAAATTATTTTTGGTTGTGCCACCATTTTTCAGATGATGAAAGCTATATTTGTCATTCACCCAAGTGTAAGCAGTTCAATGCAGCAGAAGACTAGCTGGATTCAAGCTTTGAGAACTTGTGAAGGACACTGCAACACTGGACACAACATGAGGTTTCCCCCAGCTGCATTCAAGTTTCTGCACCCACAGCTTCCATTTTGTTTGTGCCTGGGTGCAGAGTGGGCAACCCCGTCACAGCGGAGCAACAATAAACAAGAAAACAACGACAGAAAATTGAATAAAAAACAAACAGAGGCCCGGCAGGAGGAAGAAGCAGGCATGGGTAGCTTATCTCGCACTTCAAAGGCGGGAAGCAGGATATCCAGCAGGAATTTTTTTTAAAAAAGGAGCAGCGATGATGGGCCGAAATCGGAAGTGTAATGTAAACAGAGGCCTTTAATTACCGCTGCTGGCCCAGAGCACTTTGATGTGAGCCAACGAGAGAGCACGGCTAAGACCAAAACTGCAAGGGAGGCAACATAGATAACGGTCTGAGTTTTGGGCCCCTATCAGGAAGGGGAGGAGCAGGGGCCCAAACTATGATTGGGTGCCAGTATTGGGGGGGGGGGGCACGCTCTTAAGGGAGGACACAAAAAAAACAAGCAGTAATTATCACTCATTCCTTTCTGACCTGAACAGACTGCTGTGAGACCGGAACATGGTGCACTACCTTACACCGCAGAATGCAAATGCCATCACTTACCAGGCTACACTTACATTTTATTTATTTAGCATTTATTTGCATTTTTTTGAAAAAGCGATAGTAGCTCAAGCACCCAATGGTGAAATCACTCTGCCAACCTTGGGATTAAAACCAATGAGCGTCCGAACACCGACACAGCATCCAATTTCTCTGAGCCACATACCCTGTTCTGCTAAAATGAGACATCAAGAGAGTCTGGGGGAGACTCAGATTTGCGTTGCTGAAGTTGACCTCTTGCTATAAAAACAAACAATATTACTGACATCCTCACCAAGCACTTCCTTGCGATCTCCGTTCATCAGCATCTTTAATTAAACAAATAAGCAAGCAAGAAAGCAAGCAAATGTCTCACTAGCGTTGCCTGCCACGCAGCAATTAGGCCCAATTTTCCATTCCACAGTGATGAAGAGGATGTATCCCTCAGTAGTATAAAGTACATGTACAGAACCGGAATTATTTATTACCGTACACTCCTTCTACATAAAGCTTTGATTGAGACTCAAGATTTCAGTGATATCCATCCCTTGCTGACGTGAAGGGTTGTGGATTGAGCAATTTCATGAGGAATGTGAGGTATCATGGCAGAATTACCATGGGGGAATTAAAAATGAGCGCTTTAAAATCATTTAGCCGATTTAATTGGGAAGTGATCCCATTGAATGTATAAACTCAAAAGCCAGGCAGAGCCTATTTTTTTTTCTTTTTTCCCCAAAAGTTGTGGAGGACAGACAGGTTTCCTCTTGAGTTCAAAGCCTTTTCTGAGAGTCCTACAGCTCCACATGGGTCTCAACATGCCCGAAACACCTACTGTAAGCATATAGGTCATTGTTCACAAACATGGATCAATCTCAAAGCACACTGATGGACAGAGGGTAGAACAGAGAGCATGCCATAGAGGCAGGTAGCCCAAAGACTATGAGAACCACCTATCTGACAAAAAACATTTACTTTCAGGCCATGTCTAATCTCGTCCTTCAGCAGAATGACTGACAGACAATAACTGAAGAAGCAAAGAGGCTGATTAGGGGTAGCAGCCAAACAGAGTGCTGGCCAAGGGAGCACGAGCAGGATGAAATGTGTTCAGAGAAGACTGATGGCTGAGGGAGCCAGGCTACCGGGCACCGCTGCGGCCGAATGGGCGTAGCTGGGGGACCCTGGGGGACACGTAAAGGCCTGCCACCTGGGAGACATCTCCTCCGGCAGGGCCCGCTACCTCAGCAGAGCTCCTTCCTCACACTCATTCTGACTGTGAGGGACTGTATTCCTGAACACTGGACCAAAAGCACCTGAAAAAGGTGTGTGTGTGTTCTTTTGCTTTTTCTTCAATAACCACCACTTAAAGCTACTCACAATCCTTAACGACCCACGGTGGAGACAGTGCTCCCAAGAAGGAAAGCGATATGTGACGAGTCCTGTTGCTCGCTGAGACCTGGGCAGGCATGATCGCAGACAGGAGAGGGGGGCCCCTACATTTCTGAAGAAGTGGCTCCTACCCCCAGGACAGGAACATAAAGCTGAAGCATAAAGTTGTGTTCTGGGGCAACGGCAGCCTGTTGGGACAAGTCAGACTAGGTACAAAAGCAGCTCACTTTTCAGAGAACTGGCTTCACAAGCCGACCACACACCCCTGTCCGCCAGCCCTATGGCGATAGAGGCGTCACTGAGGCTCACCTGCTCCCCAGAGGCTCTTCACCACAGTCAGAGTGTGCCAAATAGGCAGAATGTCCCACACGGGCCAGAGTGTGCTATCCCATACAGAATGTCCCACATGGGACAGGACAGAGTGTGCCATACAGACAGAATGTCCGCACGGGCCAGAGTGTGCCGTCCCATACAGACAGAATGTCCCACACGGGCCAGAGTGTGCCGTCCCATACAGACAGAATGTCCCGCATGGGACAGAGTGTGCCGTCCCATACAGACAGAATGTCCCGCATGGGACAGAGTGTGCCGTCCCATACAGACAGAATGTCCCACACGGGACAGAGTGTGCCATCCCATACAGACAGAATGTCCCATAGCTGGTAAAGTGCGTCACACAGGCCAGTGTGTGCAACATGGCCTCATCTTGATACCTCTGCAGTGCTGGGTACCCCCCCCCCCCAAAAAAGGTTTCCTAAAACTTATATGTCCTACACAAAAACATCAGCAAGCAGATGCTTGGTGCCTCCGCAGATGCTGAAAGGCAGCCAATTGTCTCCAGTAATGAAGAGACGGCAGCCTTACTAACACGCTAATAATACTGCAGACACTGGAGTCACACACTCTTAGCAGTAAAAAAGCTTCTGGGACTGACTATCATTCTTCATATGCTCACAAAAGACAGTGGTTTTTGCTATAATTTCCCAGTCATGTGAAAAAAGCCCAGTCAGACCCTTATACTGTTCCTTAAAGACTCCTTATGCTTACAAATAACTCAGATGTAATCATGGGGAAATGCTGATTATTTATATAGAAAAAAACAGACACTCTCTATTTACATTTAATCACACTTAGGTGAGGAATTACCAACTCAAATATCCATTATTATTACTGCACATTACATCTTATCACAGGGATGGTGTTGCTTCGTTTTCTACTCAAAAAACCTCACAGAGATGCAGTCTTCACTTGTCCCTGCTTTAACAAGGATGAAAAAGCCACTGTCAACTGTCAGGAAACAGGCACAATCCTCCCTATCTTTTACGATCCTGGTGAAGGACATTAATAAATGAACATGGGAATAATGGGGAAAAGTTATTCTTATGCAATTAAGTTGCTTCTGGAGATTTCAGCCACTATAATATCCATGCAGAAGCCAGAAGAGATGGTCCCTCTTTACATCTGAAGGTGCACTGAACTCCCCAGATTTATGGAGAACAGCCACAGTACTCATCACTATCAGCATAAATAGCTTCTCTTGCCAACTAAACAGCGCAGGCCCTGAATTTTTTTTACCAAGCCACAAATCACCTTAGAGAGGGGGAGCTTGTGGGAATGGCTCCACAGTGAAAAACGGTGTTTCATTGACAGAACATCATGAGAACCAAAATGCACAAAAAAGGAAAAGCTTAATACGTTGATAATTTAGGGGTTATTTCATCAGAAATGCAGACTAAACTTGTGACTGAGATTCATTGTATTGTTCCCACATGAGGAAACAGACTGGTTTGCTGGATACTTGCGGTTTATATAGCACCATTTCTTTGTGCATTTTGCCAAGGGAAAAGGGCAATCATGCTTTTACAACTGATCTTATCCAAACAAGCCTGCAGTCAAAAAATAAAGACCTGCAACGGGTAATACAGCTGTCTTGTTTTTTTTTTGTTTTTTTTATTTTTAATACGACATTTAGTTCAAGGATTCAAGGGTTTTATTTGTCACGTGCAAGGTATAGCTATAGTCAGACCATAACCTGCAGTGAAATGCAAGGTGGTCGATTCTGCCATAAAAACAGTGAAAGCAAGGTATACATTAAAAAGACATTAAAAGTAATAAAATAAATGCGTGAACAGACTGAATGCCTGTCAGCAAGGGCATAGGAGGTAGCTTGATATTTGGGGTGGGGAGGGAGAGATGATTTAATTTAAAAGCAAATTCTATTAAGTGGAGAGGACAAATGGGGCCAAATTAAATATTTGGGTATAAGGTCCCCTGTAATCCCTGGTTCCAACAGCCGTGCCTGTCAGCATCTCAGAGGTGCATTTATTTGATCACACCATGTGCCATTTCTGAACAGTTTCAACTGCAATACACTGGTATTAGGAGTAAAGAGCATCCATGTAAGAACCCTACCTGCATGAGCCTTCCTTCGGCATGGCCTCTCACCCCAGCCCCAGCAAAGACCCCCTCCAGGGTAATGGGCTTCCCTGCCTGCTCCTGCTTCAGGGGTGTCACCTTGATGACGGCTTTGGGGGCCGATCGCTCCGACTCCACAGCCGCCGCCGCCAGCTCCAGGCCAGTCTGGCCCAGCACCAGCTGCAGGGCCGCCATGAGCAGCCACGGCCAGAGCCCGGCCAGTTGCCGCGGAGACAGGGTCATTGCACCGGCTGCGGCGGCGCTCTCCGGCGGCACATGGTGCGCAGTACAAAGCAGGCAGTCCGCAAAAATGCAACCCCCTCCGACTATCTTCCGATCTCCCCAAGGCTTGTAGGCGACTGCAACCTGCAGAGCTTATATGTCCAAAATGCGGCCGCACATGCACAAGTCCTAAAATGCGCACGAGTGCATGGCTCCCGATGGCATGGCCCCAATCTGCAACCTCCTTCTTGATCAAGTTAAGAAAAAGTTGTAATGATATTGGTCATCATTTTAAAATACAATACAAACTTTTCTGGAAGGAAATACAGCATGCATAATTCAGATCCACGGGAGCATGAGTGGCAGAAGTTTGCTTAAAAAAATATTTTGAAAAAAAGTACCTAACAAGAGTACCTGATTTACCCTCTTACTAAGTGTTGCCACTGAGACGGGAAAAAGGCTTTGATTGCATTTAAAAAGATATCGTTACAGGAAGTGCTGTAACTATACAATGTAACTAGCGAGAAGCATGCATTGATTTTCCGATCCTCCCTGACGCCCTATTGTACGCATTTCCAGCTTTCATGTCGCTTCTGCTCACCCGATTCTTCTTCCTCAGATTGGAGAATATCCACTAACTTTATTTCTTCTGTTTTTAATAGTCGCAATGTCTTGCAGATATTTACAGATCCGAAAGCCACTTTCCAAACCCTTCTCGCTCGCTGGTACAAGATGACTATTTACAGCAATCCCATCCGAGCCTGTTTATTTCATGTAATCCACAGTAAATTTAAAATGAAAGAATGCACCATTGTGACATATTGTATATGACACACGTCTAGTAGCACAGATATTTTGGATTTCTTTCAACGCCGTTTCCCTCTTCCAGACATTGGGATTTGAGTAATTTACCACCTATGTGTTTCCAGTGCGGGGGAAAAACTTATAAGTTGCGGGTTTGTCTCTTGTAAGAGCCGGGGGAACAGGAGAGCATGCTGTCGTTGAGTAGGAAAAAAAGACACGAACAAAATATCAGAAAATCCGGGAAATAGGCAGGTAGAGAGAAGGCAGAAATATCTGTAGCTAAACAGCGATCAAAGCCAGTGTATTTATTTTACGTCCGAGGGGGGCTGCAGAAAATCTGCTAGCTAGCAGGACACCTCGCTGGGGTGTAAAAAACACGTGTAATTTCTGAAGCAAAACTACACGCATGGCGCCCAAGATAAAATACTCCGTGCATCTAACACAAGATCGCTGTCCGATGTCACTTCCACGGTGGTTTTTTGTTCTAATTTCCAAGCCGAAATCCTTTTGAAGCTGAACGAACATAAGCAAGCAAAGAAAAAAAAACTTCATAAAAATGTAAATCAACTTCAGCGAGTTCTTGGAGGCGGTTTAAAAATTTGTTGGTAAACTAAAACGAGTTCAAATACTTCAAAAGCAATCCTTAAATGGAAGGATGTACGCAAAAAAAGTCAAGCAAAAGAGAAAAGCTTCACGTTTGTAATGTCTCCTGCTCGGCTTCCCCTGGGACCTCATTGAGCGTCTACCTGCTCACTGCCTGCCTGCCTGTCACCGAGGGTGGAGCAGCTATCGGCGGCACTGACCGAAAGGGGCCGCCATGCTCCCCCTGTCGGGAAGGCGGCGCGATCAACCCCGGCGAAAAGGGGTTAGGATCTCTCTAATCAGCGAAAACATTTAGGGAAAAGCACCTTCATGCACAAAACAGAAATAACGAACAATTTTTACATATTCAGCATTTAACTGTTACCAGTTCTTGATTTTTCGAAACACCTTTTCACTCTACCTGCATCTTAATCAATTCAGTATTAATGTTTTTTACTGAAGAAATAAAAGACATTGGACTTTTTAGTAAATAAAATGATCCATGGAATCACTTTAGTTAATAGTGACTGAACAAAAGCATGAAGGGAGACGATCATTTCGGGACTGCTATTTTGCTTGACTGATAGTTATTCTTCAATGACGCCCTAAATCCCCATTCAACCTGCAATCACGTATTTAGCAGCATAACGGCTCCCCCTAGGGGCAAAGCCATCGCACCGCAGTTTTTAAAGAACATTAAATTTGAACCAAAATGCCTTTTAAATGAAACCTTCATACCAGTAGTACAGATTTTAGGCCAATGAAAGCATTTCATATTGGACCCCCAAACCAGGTCAATCCAATTATGTTCCAAATTTAGAAACGAGAGTAATTTATGGAATTTAGAGATTAGTTGTCATTGTTGACACACCACAGCGCACAGTGCAAAACAGCAAAATGTGTTATCTGCATTTAACCCATATGTGACATAGCAGGGGGCAGCTAATTCAGCGCCCAGGGAGCAGTGCTTGGGGGCGATACCTTGCTGCTTAGGGATTTGAACCTGCAAGTTTTCAATTACAAGAGTACTTCCCTAACCATTAAACCACCACTGCCCATTATAGACAGTCACGCAAAGTGCACCTTGCTGTACGGTGATGGTGGAGTGAAAGGTTTTCTCTTTTAATAACAAAATCATGCTCCGATGTAATTAAACTTATTCTGAAACAATTTTTAAGTTCAGGTATATCTGCCAAGTGTTTATAGTTCTATAAATAGACTCCTATCTATCCACTCATTACTAATTTGAATATCACTTGCATGCATGTTAACATGCCACACACTTAAGTAATAATTTTATGAAACTATTTTGGACAAAAAATTAAATGGAAAACAGATGAAAGACAGGCATGACAGGAAAATATACAAATAAAAAAAAATAAAAGAAAGCCAGAACACCTAAAAGTCACTGAGTTAAACAGGTCCTGAGATGAGCTTAGTACCCTTGAGAGAAGTAATTCCATATATTCAGCTGAGGAACAGGTACTTTATAAATCAGTAGCCAACATCAGTTACTTTTGTAAATATTTGTGAAATAAAAATATTATAGGTACTGACAGTAAAGTACAATAAAAGAAAAGCACAATACCAAATGTTAACCTAACATATGCAGCTGAAATATCCCATATGTATTTATATATCCCATTATAATAATGCTACAAGGTGGGAACAATATTTTCAGAGAAATCTAATGAGCCAGAATAACTATACTCTTGATTGCAATATTGATCTTTCATTTTATTGGCTCCTGGAAGACTCAGAACCCCAGTGGCAGCATCTGCTTTGATGCTGACTGGCACAGTGGCCTTAATCCCAACCAGAGGGCTTTAGCCACAGTGAGACATACAAACTGAATCCATAACAAGAGGCGAGGTGCTCAAACTCAGTAACTTTTGGGGGCTGAGCTGGCCCGAAGCAGGCAGATCCGAATTGGGGAACTGAACCACCTCTGATGGACAGGTGAGCTGGATCAAGTTTTCAGGGGTCTCCACTTTGACCATGCATAGTTTGGGAGATGCCTGCAGCTCATTAACCATTTGGAAAACCATATCCAAATTGACAGTCTCATTCTCATTGCTTTGCTGGTCCTGACTGCAGGGACGTAAATGGCCTGGTGGATAGTTTGTCTGAAATAGTATCAGGAAAGCAATAAACTTATTTTACTCAAAATCCTGAGGTACAATCTACCATTAAAAAACTCATTATTTCTTTCTGAAGACATTTTTCTTCTTATTACAGTAAATACCAAACCATCATTAGAATACAGCTAACTGCCGTTATATTTCAGCCAGGTGCAAAATTCCATTTTGAACACTACACAATTGTCCTAACATGGCATTGTATACCCAACTGACAGCTACAAACCTGGTAATAGCAGTAATGTGGTAATGGTGTAGATTGGGGAACACAGCCTGTAGGGTCAGTAGTCACTGGGCTCTGGAAGAAACCATCAGACATGGCTGCAAAAAATAGACAAGAATAGAGTAAAGAGAATGACCCCTGGAACCAATAAACCCCATATATGCAACAGAACTATTATGAATAACTTGTACTGCAGTGTAACACTACTCATAGTGTAAATGCTAAGTTGAAAATACATAAGGCCGAGTCACCTGGTGCATAACATGCAGGGTGGTACTGAGTAGGTAGTGAGTGATTATACTGCAATGCAGCAGCAGGCACGGCCAGCGCTCCTGGCTGAACTTGGGCGGTAGCAGGAGCAGACAGGGCAGCACAGCTGAAATTGTACTGCAAAGCAGGTGCCTGCTGAATGACCGGAAAAGAGATGCCTGTTTCCACACTGGGCCCCACCATCCAGCCACACAGGGGATTGGGGATGCAGTCATAACCCATCAGCAGGTGTTCTTCACTCTGGGGGGGCTGATGTGGGGGCATGGCTCCCATCTGTGTCCCCTGTTGGGTGTGTCCTGCAAGCCTGTAACCTGCAGTCACTGTGAAATAGGCCTACATCAGCACAGTAACACACATACACCTAAGAGATACCTTACTTATTCTTGTTTAGGATACCACTTTGCCTCTGGCTGCTATGGATAATACAGCAGGTATTTAAGCCCTATGATGGATTGGAGTCCCATCCAGGGTATCCCCTCTCTCATCCCTCTGCCTCTCAGGTTAGACCCAGGAATGCATAAGTAGGTAGAGAAGATGGATGGAGAGACTTTCCTTTTATATTACATACCATTTGTATCTTCAGTCCTGTTTTTCCTGCGGCCCCGAGAACTGGGCAGCCTGCGGGGCACCTCCAGCCCAGCCTGGATCCTTGCCTTGTTGGTACTGGTCAGCCGCTTAAGATTCACCAGCAGGTCGGGGCGGCCTTGCCTGAAGTCAGGGTTAAAAAAGTGGTGATGCAGCACCCCCATGTGGCCGGGCATCGGCATCACCTTCCTGAAGCCGTACAGGTTGAGCTGCCGGTTGAAGCTGGAGAAGCTGCTGGACTTGAAGGCGCCCCCGATGGGCGACAGCAGCTCGGCCTCGAATCGCCGCTGGTCTATGAAGACACCAAAGCCGAACCAGTCCCAGCGTACCGAGCTAACCCGCGGTTCGTTCACAAGCTGCCACAGCTTGGCAGGGAAGCTTTGGGGGTTGATGAGGATGGCGTGGAGGCCATATTCCCCATCCGTGGACTCTGTCAGTGAATGTAAAACATACAATATGTGAAAAGCTCATTCCCGCGGTGAATTTGAGCTAGCTCTCTAAACTAGCTGACTTCCAGAGTGTGACTCGAACGTAATGAAGACCTTCGCCGGCAGTCCTTATCATGGCGGTCTGTCAGGGTTTCTAGGCGGCTCTGCCTGACCGTTAGAGTGCGCGCGCCTGGCGCTCGAGCCCTAACAGCTTTATTATGCTTATTACCATATAGGGATATGGACGCAGCGTCCTGTCCGTTCATTTCGGGCGTTTCTGCACGTTTTCTCAAAGCTTACGGATACTGACAAAACGGAGCAGTTCCACCAGAATCTGGGGGGCAATTTACCCAGTAGTTCAAGCGAAAATTATAGGTGTTTATCAAGGTAATTATGTTGTACGCACAATAAATTATATTGTGTGCACTCCATAATCATGGTATTGAACACTCTACTTAAACCTTGGAATGTTACAAATACATTTGTTACACCGCGATAACGTTAAATTCGATATCGAGTTCTCCGACTAATATATCCTTTAACAGATTAATGATGTCCAGCACACTGACAGCGATGCACACGCACCGTTTGTTTTTTTTTTTTTCCATTTCAAGCCCTTTCAATATTTGTGTTGTTAATTTCCACTAAAATGGCATATTTCCGCTGTGGTTCTGCATTGAGTTAATCGCAGCTCTTTCACACCCCTTATTTGCTCTTCCAGTTTTCTTTACGAGCGAATTTTGTTTTGAATCTTCGTATGTCCTGAGTTCATATAGCACACTCTGAAACATGAGACAACCCCTTGGATTTTCATATTACTGGTATGTATTTCCATGCACTGGATTAATCAATAGGCTAATAACTCTAAGACAGCTCAAGTATATTGTGTTTTGAACAGTTACTTATGGAACAGTACACAACATTTATTGGACAAATAAATAATAAAGGCAGATCTGCAGGACCAGGTTTAATTGACCCTTTGCTTTAAAGTTCGGCTGATTTCACGTTCACGATAATGTATTGTGTGCGCAGCTTAATTATCAAGTGCGCACAAAGTAACATCCCAGCAATCAGTATACACGGCATTATTAAGTATTACTAAAATCTAATTAGCTGCTATAACAAGGATGATCTCTGCACTGCCCGCCCCCCCCAGCTTGCCGGTGTTTATGTGTTTACGGTTTATGTGGCGGTCCTGTTAACCGGTGATAAGCGGCTTCATGCGCCAATGTTTACGTATTCTTGAAAATGTGTGGTTAATATACAGCTTCGTCAATTTTGTAAAAGTGAAACAATATTGTAAATATTTGGAATTGTCCATGCACATACTTCAGCTAACTTAAAATATATACCTGAAGAGCAAAAAGGGATTCAATTTTATATTCATAGGCTGCTATCACCTTTACAACTGCATGCATGCATGTTTGCTAAATTACAAACGTGCGGGACAAGTCGTTTTCTTCATTAGCGTAACTATTTTCTTTATTGGTTCTCCCAACTTTCAATAAAATTTCCGAACGATGGTTTCCAAACCAGATTTGTATTTCATAATGCAACTTTTCATAATGGTGCACTCTGTCAATTACTTTCCGATCCATTATTCGGCCTAGCAGATACAGGAAGTAGTTTGAAAAGTCGCCACCAGCAACCTCCTTCATCCGCCTGAAATCAATCAAATGTCCGTGGGATGTCATCTATAACTATGGTCCCGCTTGTTTCTTACCCGAAATGAAATAATTAGTCCTTATATCATTAATCAGTACAAAGAGCTATTTTGTCCCCCACAATGTAATAAAGGCCTGTTTCATTTTTGACGTTGTGGTGATAATTTTTCAGGTCCCCACAAAGATCTGTGAATGCAATGAAAAAGGTAAAAATGCCAAAAGTCTCCTTTTTTTATTTGTTTACTTATAGTTAAGGTTAGGGCTGGGTAGTGGGTTAAGGTCGTCATGCTGTGATTAAAGTTTTCCCCATAGAAGTGAATGGAGAGTCCCCATGAAAATATAATTACAAATCTCTCTCTCTCTCTCTCTCTCTCTCTCTCTCTCTCTCTCTCTGGGTGTGGCGAGCAATATTGAGTACAGAATTTTTAAGACTCAGATTTCATTAGGAAAATTTAAGTACAGTTTATGAGAGAGATGTAGAATCACAGGAACACCTGTTTTATTTTGGTAATGTTATTCTTAGGCTTTTAAAAGTTTTTTGGGTTGCTTTGCATGGTTGGCTGCATATGTATGTATATATATTCCCCTTTTTTCTTTTGTGATTTGTGTTGCGGTTACAGTCTGGTTACCGTGGAACATTGTGTGTGCAATGTTAAAGGTCAAATTGCTGTGTTTGTTTGATAAGCATCAATAATAATAATAATAATAAAATTTTATCAGAGTACGTCTTTCTCAGTGCGTACATGTGACGCAAATTCAAGGCGCCGGAAGTCGTCTTTATTCCGCTCTCAGTGGTGTTCTCAGCTTGCGTTTAAAAACACGAAATCTTTGAAAAATTATATCAAATACGTCGTTCTGCTTCACAGCCGAATGGCGCTGGAGACGGTACCCAAGGATCTTCGCCATTTGCGAGCTTGCTTATTGTGTTCCCTTGTTAAGGTAGGATTCATGTTCGAGTTGAGTTTTATACATTTACGATCTTGTAAAATGTCATTTTAAACTGTATAGGAATCTTGCTGTCATTGTGTATATGAGCGAGTCGTAATTGTATTAAATACTGTTTCGCTAATTTACCAAGTACCTAGTACTCATGTGAAATTGAAACCGCTTAGAATAGGGCGTCCCAACTTTTTGATGTTTGCCGACTGGTCTGCATGGTACAAAAAAATACATAGACCGCGGATGGTGCCGGTGGATTAATCGGCGATTTCACCAGTGTAACTATTTACATTTTCTTCAGATGCGAACAATAAGTGCGAACGTGAGGGGCTGAAAACAATGAAAACATACAATTAATTTTTGTAAATTAACCAGCCCCATAATCCCCAGCGTTCCACCGCCCGGTGAAATACTGACCACGGACCGGGGGTTGGGAACCCTTAGTTTTGAAGGCGTCACTCACTTCTCTTTGTTTCAAACGTTTCTTCCTGTATAGGTGATGCTTAAATATGTCGTAATAAAACCCTTGCTTCCTATTAACGCATCTTTAGTATTGTAGCCACTTGTTTGGCCATAGTTGGTTAATTAAAGATTAATGCAGTAACAACTGTGGAGTTGTTCTGACAAATCGAGCAAGCGAAATAGCCATGCTTTATCTGCTTAACTTGTCCTTTTTGGGGTTTTGCTTTTCACCTTATACAGACTATTGATCAGTTTGAATATGATGGCTGCGACAACTGTGAATCCTACCTGCAGATGAAGGGGAACCGGGAGATGGTGTATGAGTGCACAAGCTCTTCCTTTGATGGGTATGGCCCCACTCACAGTTACTGTACCAAATGTCATTTTAAATCTTCATTCTGTGTGTCTGATGACCCATCTTTTGTTCTCCAGGGTCATAGCGATGATGAGCCCAGAAGACAGCTGGGTAGCCAAATGGCAGCGAATCAGTGAGTGATTTTTGTCTTTGGGGAAAAGCTATGAAATGTATAATCTTGTAATAAATAAAGCATGATTGTAGTATGTTACTGAACCTTGAAAACATGGTAGAGTAACAATAATGTGGTCATCTTTCAGATGGTTAAGGGAAACCTGTTTTATAATAAAAATGTCTCTCTGCCTGCTCCCCACTAGGTAACTTCAAGCCTGGGGTTTATGCAGTGACAGTGACCGGCCGGCTTCCGCCGGGTACGAGACGTGTGACGCTCCGCTGTCATCTGTTCTCATTAAATTTCCGCCACCTGGAGCCCAATTGCGGCCGTGAGCCACACGCCATCTCCTCCCCTCACTGCCGCTTCTCACGCTTCCTCTTCCTCTTTCTCTGTCAGGTGTCGTGAGGGAGCTGAAGAGCAGAGGGGTGATTTACAAGTCCAGGGACACGGCCGTGAAGACATAAGCGTGACCTGTCACCCTCACCACTGCTCGGTTTCACCCCATGAGTTAAGCCAGAATCTGGTTCTTCACATGATCTTGTTTCATTTGCTGGGCTCTTTAAAAGAACACTAGAGTAGAACCACTCATCTTCTGCCACAAGAGGGCGATCTAGTGTTTCCTAGGCATACTTGTCATTTGCTGTATCAAGGTAGCCATTTTCTTAATGTTTCTTTTTTTATGTACTTTTTATTTTAAAACACCAAGCCTGTGATGTAAGTGACATGTAATAAACTATGTTATGGTTTGCATTTTTTATTTCACCTTAAGGTGATTTACGGGGGGGGTTATTTATTTTTAAGGATCCCTTCCTTGTAGTTTGGGCAGGTTTACCTTTGATGGACATTTTAGCGAGTTACAGACTCCATCCATCCATTTTCCAACCCTGGGCGGGGGGCCAGCCCATTGCAGGGCACATTCACACACCATTTACTCACACATGCACACCTACGGGCAGTTTAGTAACTCCAATTAGCCTCAGCATGTCTTCAGACTGTGGGGGGAAACCGGAAAACCCGGAGGAAACCCCACGACGACATGGGGAGAACATGCAAACGCCTCACACATGGAACCCTGGCAGAGACTCGAACCCGGGTCCCAGTGGTGTGCGGCAACCACTGCACCACCTCGCCACCCCCGAGTTACAGACTGCTGCTGCTGCTATATGAAATAGCATAATTTGCGGAAATGACAGGTGTAAGTAATACAAGAATTGAATTATTTGCATCAGTGAAGTTAAAGAATTCTGGCTGAAGGACAAGTTCTCTGAGTGAATAAATTTGACATCCATTTTTTCTACTGCATAATCCCAGGACCCATAGTTCAAAGGGAGATAACATATTTGTGTTTAGTATGATATTAGTTTATGTGGGATACTATGGTTTAATCTTATGTTGTATTTCTAGTAGAGTACTGAATGTGGTGTGTCGTGTCATCTCTCTCACAGCTTTCAGGAGGGGGGGGGAGCATTGGTGTCCAGGGGAAAATACTTATTTCCGTCTTTTACATTCTGCAGCAGTGATGTACAAACTGAATTACTGCTATTTCAAAGTTCACATAAGACAAATGAGGGAGGGGGGGGCAAGTGGCAGAGAAACCCCAGGGCTGTGCAGCCGCTTGCACAAGCCACGTGTCACGCGAGGGGGCATTGTTGCACTGGGCTCACCGAAAGGGGAAATGGTGCATCCTTTTCAGGAAGTTGCATCAGGCAGCTGTCATGAGGGGAGAGGGACCTTAACTGCAGCATGTATAGTTTTTTCACCTCTGTGTTACCGAGTCAAACTGCAGTTTGAGGGAAATGAGCAGGGAGCCGCAGGCTGCAGTGTCGCATGGATTTAAATAATAAATGCAGCCTCCTGCATCGATGGTGAAGAGGCCTATTTGGAATATGAAGATGTTACTAATAGGTGACTAAGGCTCCTTTAACCAGTCTGATGAAAGTGGTTTGAAACAGAGGGCTGTAATACTTCAGCCTGTAATCCCCACACACACCTAAGCCCTGTGATGTATTTAGGTTGAGAAAACAGCGCAGTCTATATGTTGCACCACAGAGCTCTGGAAAGCCTTAAGCAGAGAGTCTACATGCTGAGAGTCTCAGAGAGTCTTTCAGTCTATATGTTGCACCACAGAGCTCTGGGAAGCCTTAAGCAGAGAGTCTACATGCTGAGAGTCTCAGAGTGTCTTTCAGTCTATATGTTACACCACAGAGCTCTGGAAAGCCTTAAGCAGAGAGTCTACATGCTGAGAGTCTCGGAGAGTCTTTCAGCTGAATCTTGGCCTCACCAATACTTTGGTTATGAGTGTATGGATTTGCTTCATCTGTATTCAGGGAAATTATTCCTCAGCCAATAAGTGAGATATAACTATTTGCATTAACTAACCTCTCTGAGACATAAAAAAATACACAGTGTTCTTGCAGTGACATTGTGGTGACTGATAAGTAATGATAATTCAAGTTACTTATCGGTGTAAAATCAGTCATCCACTGGGTTATCGACGGGAGTGGAAAACAATCTTATTTGTGTAGACGTGATTAGACTTCTCCGTCACTGAAGTAGGTGGGAAATCATTAAATGTGAGCCCTAGTCCTTGTCATCTCCTAGAAGAGGGTAAATGTAGAAATGTTTTAAGGAACATTGGGTTGTAATTATTATGGTATCATTGTAAGTAACATGAAAACTTTGAATCCAGTTTTAAGAGTATATGCTAGAATCCTCTAAAAAAAATAACAGAAACTACTAATGGCAATACTCCACTCCAGGGTTTACAGGCAATGAAAAACATACTGAACTTTTCACTGAAATGTAGTCATTTACAAGCAGAGTGCTGAGAAGGTGTGGCCTATATTGAAAAGTACACACATGTAGCTCAGCACCAATGGCTGTCTGTAGCGTGTTTCTGCGAGGACAGCAACCCCAGCAGAGAGGAACCACTTACTAAGCAAAGCGATATTTCAGCAGATCTGTGGAGGTGTAAGAGCAATGAAGACCTTTAAAACCAGAGCTGGCCATCCTCACCCTGCCGCCTGGAACCTCGGCGGGTTGGATCATGGCCGTCTAACCGGATGAACTGATTATAACACAACCAGAACATGAAGGCCCGAGTCCGAACCTTTCCTTAATACTCACTGGGTAAAACATTTACGTTTTATCTATTTAACAGATGCTTTTATCCAAAGTGATGTACATTGGCAAGGTCAGCCAGTCCCTGGAGCAATGGGGGTTAAGGACCTTGCTCAGGGGCTCAACGCTGACCTCACCCTGCTGACAAGGCGACCTTCTCATCCCAACCACAGCATCCTAACCCACTAAGCCATATGCCAACTATGCACATATGACTTACTGCTGTTCGGTTTAATGGCCAAACATGTTCGTGTGAAACTCAAACTATATTCTCAAGAACAGATACGAAAAGACTTGGGGGGCGTAAAACAGGAAGATGAACACCATCACTAAACCTATTGTGACTGCACCTGATTTCCCTGAATCGTTACCGTGGGCAACGATTTTAACCTTGTTACGTCGGTAACACCCAGCACATTGGCATTCTAATATTTATGAGGAATGATAGCCAGTGTCAGCCTTTAAAGTGGTTACACTGGTATAATTAAAATATACCATATAAAATATAACCATACAAAAAAAAAATAGCCCTACAACCAAATTCCTCCACGTCCAACTGCTAATCACAAAATGATACACATCCTTCTAAAGGTCACCGGGGGGAACATCTGAGAAGGGTTTCTCCAGCCTTTGCCTGTCAACTATGCTTTCCAGCCCAGTGAGTAACGTTCAGTCATTTTTCAGCCAGGGGATGTTCAGGGAGCTGCGTAGCTGACGGCGACTTCCTGTCACTTCTGTTTCTGATAATAGATGAAAGATGCTTTAAATGAGTAAAAGCAGACTGAACATTTCAGGGGAAACAATGGAAAAAAAAAAAAAAGGTCATGAGGAAGAACCACAACTCTGTACAGGACCCCTCCCATCAGCTCTGCACACAAGAAATGGCGGAATTTTCTTTGTAAGAATTGTACTAAAACCCACAGGCTTTTCTACTCACTTTTCATTGGCTGCCTCCAGCAGCTGTCTGACCATATTAGGCAAAGTCGAAGCCACTGGCTGTTTGATGCCAAACGGCCTAGTGATCACAAAGGCACATACGCCTCACATGACCTTTACCTTTTCTCATTGTTGCCTGTCCCTTTCACTTTAGAGAGCCTCTCCTCTCTAACATCATGGTTTCACCGCCACGCACATAACACATATAACACAGACAAAGTCAGCACACACCAACACGCATCCAGATCATAAGAATGTACAGAGCATCATCAGGTCCGGGCAGAATGTTTGACCTCCACTCAAACCCTACTGTATCAGGTCAGAAGCCACTCTGAAACTTCCTTGCCATGACTCCGGCATGTTATGGCAGGACAGGGACATGTTGAGGTGTCGTGAGACCCTGTAGCATGTTGGACACAAGTTTAGGATTGAAACCTGAGTTGTAGCTGAAATGACTACTTCATGGGGTTTGTAGCTGAGTGAGGAAGGGTGATCTGCATTTGTGTCCAGGTCATGTTTTCAAATCCCAGGGGTGGTAGGGTGATCACATCACCGTTGGGCCCATGGGCAACAGGGGTGTCGTAACACGGACTGACTGCTTTCTGACCTCATGCTTTCCTCTTTCGTATGTCACTTTGGATTAATGTGTTTGCTAAACGTGTAAAATTGTCTGTATTTGTCTGTAATGTCAGTCAATAAATAATCATACATGTCTTGTACAGGGTCCATCCAAGGCCTTCACACTAACATTTCTGGACTTTCCCCTCATTCTCAAAAATGGAAAACAGGTACTATTTTAAAGCCCATTTTAGTCCTTTTAAAGCTGGGTTCACTATTGTGAATGACTTAAAAGCAGATGTCATGCTTGTGTGACTCTCGCTTTCCTCAACCTGTTGCAACCGCCACTAAAACCACTCGCCAGCTATCAGCAGAGTCAGCGAATCGTATGCTTGCAGCCTGTGTCCATCATGCTTTCACAGTCAAAATGTGCTCCCTCCTCGGCTCCTAGACCAAGCCCGGGGACAGATATCGGGGGATGCTGCCCATCTGCGGCCCCCAGCGTCTGCTGGAGGACCTCAAGCCATGTTGGACATTTGGTCTATCCAAACACCTCCAACACTCAAGGAACTAACCCACCTAGTCTTGGGACCTGTACTTGTTTTGGTCAGATGTCATGGAGGCGAAAGAAAAAAAAAAATGGCACTAGGAATTAGGATGCTTCTGCAGCTCTCTGGTAGATGTCTGTCTGACTGTATGTCCTGCTTTGCATGACCTTGTTGAAAGGGATAGGCACTTTCTCTGCTAAAATGATGTAAGAGGAGTGTTGGGGCTGGCCAGTGTGTGGTGGAGGTACAAACACACGGGCATGAGGGCAGGGTGCAAGAGGAATGGTGTTGTGTGGTGGTGGTGGGGGGATGGGAGCTGGCCACTGAGATAAGGTATATCTCGGGGAGCAGCGTGTCCTGCCTCAGGCCAGAGCCTGGTCCACCACAGACACCACACCCCCCCCACCAAGCCACCCCAAATCCATCATGCAATATTGTCATCACAATGAGCTTCCAGGTCCCACCCCCCTGCCCTGACTACAATCAATGTCTCTGATATCTTCCTAGCACACCTGGTGATGGGATGTTGCATGCAGTGAGATAATAATAATAATAATTCCAGAATAATTCCAGAAGAATGCTAAACAT